TTGGGGGATTTTGAAGTGGGTTTTGGGGGGATTTTCAGGTATTTTGGGGGTGGGTTTTGGGAGACTTTGAGGTGGGTTTTGGGGGATTTCGGGGGGATTTTGGGGTCTCACGCACCCGGGCCCATGGGCAGCCCCGCGGCCTCGGCGCCGTGGCGCAGGACGTAGCTCAGGGCCTTGGACAGCCGCACCCGGGGGTCCTGGGGGGGCCCAAGGGTGACCCCAACCCACCCTTGGGACCCCACACCCCCCGGGCACCGCCCACAGCCCCCCCACCCCCATGGGCGACCCGGCGCCCCAGGCACAGAGGGGGGGTTCTGTGGGTGTTTGGGGGGGCGTTCAGGGGGTCTCAGGGCTCACCTGGGCGGGCAGGTGGGGGGCCAGGCGCCCCAGGCACAGAGGGGGGGTTCTGTGGGTGTTTTGGGGGGCGTTCAGGGGGTCTCAGGGCTCACCTGGGCGGGCAGGTGGGGGGCCAGGCGCCCCAGGCACAGAGGGGGGGTTCTGTGGGTGTTTTGGGGGGCGTTCAGGGGGTCTCAGGGCTCACCTGGGCGGGCAGGTGGGGGGCCAGGCGCCCCAGGCACAGCGTGGCGTTGCAGCGCAGGGGTCCCAGCGCGTCCCCCCCCTGCACCCGCAGCAGCAGCCGGGGCAGCTCCCCCCCCCTGCGCCCCTCCCCCAGCTTGGGCGCCAGCAGCACCATGGACTGGGGGGGGGACAAACAGAGGGGGGGTCAGGGGGCACCCCCAGATGGGATCTGGGCGGATCCAAACCATTTGGGGGTGCCCAGGTGGTGACTGGGGGAGTCCCACCCGTTTTGGGGGCCCACAGGTGGATTTGGAAGGAGGATCCCAGGTTATTTTGGGGGGGTCCAGGTGATTGAAGAATCCCATTCATTTTGGGGGGGTCCCCAATCAGTCCCACCCTTTCAGGGAATACCCAGGTGGATTCTGGGGTCGCTATTTGATTTTTAGAAAAGTCTGCAGGTGGTTTTGGGGGATCCCCAGGTAACTTCTGGGGGAGTCCCAGAGTCAGTCCCACCCATTTGGGGGGGTCCCCAATCAGTCCCAAGTCCCACCCTTTCAGGGAATACCCAGGTGGATTCTGGGGTCACTATTTGATTTTTAGAAAAGTCTGCAGGTGGTTTTGGGGGATCCCCAGGTAACTTCTGGGGGAGTCCCAGAAAGTCTGGGGGTCCTGGGTGATTTAGGGGTGGTTTCCCAGGTGATTTGGGTTTCCCAGGTGATTTGGGGGGTCCTGGATGATTCTGGGGGCCCACCTTGACCGTCTGCTCGCGGATGGCCGGGTTGGAGTCCAGGAACCCGTGGGCGACGTGGGGGAAAATTTGGGAATCCACCGTGGCCTCAGGCAGGAACTCAATGAACTCCTCGAGCTGGGAGGGGGGAGTGAGACCCCTGAACACCCCCAGGGACCCCCAGAAACCAGGGATCACCCCCCTTTTGACCCCTCCCAGCCTCCCCAAGCCCCATAAACCCACCCATTCCCTCCCGCTATGATCCCAGACTCTCTCAGTCCTTCCCACTCCCTCCCAGCTCCCTCCCAGTCCCTCCCAGTTTCATCCCAGTCCTTCCCAACACCATCCCAGTCCCTCCCAGTCCCATCCCAGTGCTCCCAGTTCCATCCCAGTCCTTCCCAACCCCATCCCAGCCCCTCCCAGTGCTCCCAGCCCCATCCCAGTCCCTCCCAGTGCTCCCAGTCACCAGCTGCAGCAGGCGCAGGCGCAGGCCCCGCTCGGGGGACGAGAAGAGCCGCACGAGGACGGGGACGATTCGCTCCTGGTACTCGGGGGGGTCCAGGACCTTCGCCACCTGGGGGAGACCAGGGGGGGACCATGGGGGTCACTGGGGGGGATTTGGGGGGTCCCACCTGCAGCGGGGGGGGCAAGGAGGTTCTGGATGGGATTTTGTGTGTCAGAGAGGTTTTAGGGGGTGTTTTGGGGGGGTCCCACCTGCAGCAGTGGGTCAGGGGGTTTCTGTGTGGGATTTTGGGGTCGCTGAGGTTTTAGGGGGTGTTTTGGGGGGGTCCCACCTGCAGCAGTGGGTCAGGGGGTTTCTGTGTGGGATTTTGGGGTCACTGAGGTTTTAAATGGGGTGTTTTGGGGGGGGTCCCACCTGCAGCAGCGGGGGCAGGGCGCTGGCATCAGCGCTGCCCAGCTCCAGGGCCTCGAGCAGCCTCGGGAGCAGCTTGTGCCTCCGGAAGGGCCCCGGGAGGGACTCCAGGAGAGGGGGCAGCTCCTGCAGGAACGTCCGGCGCTCCGAGGGGTCCCGGACCTGCCGGGGGGTCCCAGAGACACCGGGGGTCAGGGGGACAGGGATGGGGATGGGGATGGAAACAGAAATGAAGTGACAGGAATGGACGTGAGGAGGAGGAGACAGGGATGGGAAGGATGATGGGGATGAAGATGAGGAAGAGGATGAAGGAATAGGGGCGAGGATGATGAGGGGACAAGGATGGGAACAAGATGAGGATGGAAAAGCAGGGATCAAGAAATGAGGATGGGGATAAAGGAAGAGGAATGAACGTGGGAATAGGATGAAGATGAGGATCAAGGAATGGATCAGGAGACAGCAACAGGGATGAGGATGATGATGGGGATGAGGAGCACAAAGATGAGAATACAGGGATGAGGATGATGATGGGAACAAGGAACAGGAACAAGCACAAAAATGAGGAGACAGGGATGAGGATAAAAGGACAGGAATGAACACGAGGAAGAGGATGAAGAAACAGGAGTGAGGATGATGATGATGAGGGGACAGGGATGGGAACAAGATAAGAATGGAAGAGCAGGGATCAATAAATGAGGATAAGGATGGGGATAAAGGAACAGGAACGAACACGGGGATGGGATGAGGATGAGGCTCAAGGAATGGATCAGGAGACAGCGACAGGGATGAGGACGATGATGGGGATGAGGAGCACAAAAATGAGAATACAGGGATAAGGACGAGCATAAAAGGACAGGAATGAACATGAGGATGAGGATGATGGCACAGGGACGGGGCGAGGCTGAAGCCAGACCTGGAAGTGCTCGAGGAAGAGCCCGGTGCGCACCAGGGCGCAGGCCAGGAAGGCTCCCGGGCGCTGCAGCCGCTCCAGGAGCGGCCCCGGGCCCGGCCGGGCCCCCGGATCCGCAGCCACCAGCTCCGAGAAGGGCGGGATGAGCCCGGGGGGCAGCTGGGGGGACAGGGGGACGGGGGTCAGGGGCACCCCAGGGGCTGGGGGGACACGGGGACACGGGGTCAGGGGTACCCCAAGGGCTCGGGGGACAGGGGGGACACGGGGTCAGCCCAAGGGCTGGGGGACAGGGGCACCCCTGAGCCTGGGGGGGTTTTTGGGGGCTGAACAGGAATTCGGTGGATCCACAAGTTTGGGAGGAGTCAATCTGGGGGATCCCGGGTGTTTGGGGGTGCCCAAGGGGTCCCCAGGATTTTAGGGGAGGGGTCTCAGACCTTGCCAAAGCTGCGCAGGGCCCCTGGCCGGGGGAGGGGTCCATTGAAGACCTCCCAGATGAGGCAGCCCAGGCGCCACATGTCCCCTGCCCTGGGGGGGCCGTGACAGTGGGGAGGGGGCACGGGGGACCCCCACGGTCCCCTGAGCCCCCCCCAGTGCCACCTCCCCCATTTCCATGTCCCCTCCCCAACTCACCAGGGGTCTCCCTGGCCTCGGGAGGGGGCGCTGAGCTCGGGGGGGTTGTCCTCTCGCTGTCCCCACCATTCCTGTCTCCCACTGTCCCCACGGTGTCCCCCTGTCCCCCCCTGACTGCTCATTCTCCTGCCACCATTGTGCTCCCATTGTCCCCATCCCTTCGTGTCCCCCCCACCCCTCGTTCCCCCCACGTCCCCGTGACCCCCGCGCTGTCCCCGCGGTGTCCCCGGTGCTGTCACCTCCAGGCTGTCCAGGTAGCCCAGGACGTTGGGGTGCCGGAGGCTGCGGAGCCGCTTCAGCCCCGCCCGGGCCAGCGCGGTGGCACCGGGGTCACCGCCCGGGGCCAGGCTGTGCGCGAACACCGACACCGGAGCGCCGTCGGCCTGGGGACACCGGGACGCTCTGGGACACCGGGACAGGCGGGGGACACCGGGACAGACGGGGGACACCGGGACACTCAGGGACACCGGGACAGGCAGGGGGACACCCGGGGAGGCAGGGACAC